ATTGCATGGCTATTTTTACTCTCAGAACTGTAAGACTGCTGTGGTTCAAATTTTTGTTTAAGTTTTAAAATTTGTCACTTGGATACGTAGTGGCAAGGAAGACTTTAAAAAAGTAAGACTTGACTTAAACCTGGGTTTTATTTACTAATTTAGCATTAGTTCTCACTTGTAGCAACTGACCATTTGAGGTTTTTGTCTTTTGGGTTTCCAGGTACAAGAATGATGATTGGGAAGCCATGTGATATATTGAAGAGACTTTTGCTCTGAGCAGATATGCATATGAATAGCTAAAAGTCTTACGATCTTAATTTTCTAACTTGCGAAATGGCATAATCATTTCTGCATTGTGGGATTATTATGTGGATTTGTGTAACTATATACAGAAAACACCATGCACCTAGCAACAGTGGGTATTCAATAAATGTCAGCCATTCTTTGTATGATGTTAGCTTTTTAAAAAAAAATATTTATTTTTCAATTATAGTTGGACACAATACCTTTATTTTATTTAATTATTTTTATGTGGTGCTGAGGATTGAACCCAGCGCCTCCTTGCATGTGCCAGGCGAGTGGTCTACTGCTGAGCCACAACCCCAGCCCTGATGTTAGCTTTTAATAGATCACTAGCAATCATGTTAATGTCCTGCTTTATGAAGCCTCAAAAATGTTTTGGGCCAAATACAGTAGGATTAGAAATGTTTGTTCCTGCTGAAAAGAGCTTCAGCAAGGGCTCATTTATGGACTGAGTTTCTGGTTCTGGTCTCGGCTCTCCTGTGTGACATCAACTAGTCATTCCCTCATTTGGACCTCAGAATTCTTACTTGTCATGCAAAGGTTTGTCTAAGCTGAACTCTAAGGGCCCTTTCAGATTTAAAATACTATATTTCTATGCTATTTTATTTAACTGATTTTTTCAGCTCAGGGTTATTTTTCTTGGATCATTTCCTTTAGCGGACCAGCATTCTTTAAGATAACTCCCTTTAAAACAATTATTATTATTTTTCCACCTGCAGCAATCCTCCCATTTCTTGTACAAAAAATTCCTGAGAAGGTTGTCACTACTCGTTGGATCCCTTTTCTCACTTTTCACTGTGACTTGAATCCCTCCCCACCTGGGCATCTGTCCACACAATCTGACTGCAACCACTCTTGTCAAGTGGATAGTAATTTCCACCTTGCCAAACCCTTTGGTCAACTCTCCATCTTTATTTAACTCACGTGACCCATTAACTCGTATGGTTCTGTCAATCGTTCTCTCCTCCTTGGATAATTATTTCTCTAATTGTCCATGCACCACCCTTGCCTCATGTTTTCCCATATCTCATGAGCAGAGGTCCCTGCAGGCTTGTTCCTCCCATTCTCTAAATCTGTGTGGCCAATAGAAAGAGAACATGAGTCACATGTGTGATTTTGAATTCCTTAGTGTTGATTTCCATATTAACTAAGAAAAGGAAGCAGAGGAAGTTAACTTTAATAACATATTAAAACTAACCCAATACATCTCAAATATAATTTCAACAAGTAGTTAGTATAAGTAACTATGATACTTTACATTATATATAATATATATATGGAGCTTA